GGTTCTTTCTTCTTCTTCTCCTTTGGTTTGCAAACTCAAGAAGTCCCTATATGGCCTTAGGCAAGCTTCCAGACAATGGTTTTCTAAATTGTCTGAGGCTTTGCTCTCCAAAGGCTACATTTCCAGTCTCAATGATTACTCCTTATTCACCAAATATACTGTTGATTCTCTGTTTGTGTTAGCTGTATATGTTGACGATATTCTGTTAGTTGGAAATGATCTCTCTGAAATGCTGTCCTTGAAGTCTTATTCGGATACCACTTTTAAGATCAAGGATTTGGGTCTTGTTCACTATTTTCTGGGGCTGGAGATCTCTCTTATTCCTCAAGGGTATATTATGAGTCAACACAAATTCACTTCTAATCTTCTTTCTGAATTCAAATGTCAGCATTTTTCTTCTGTTTTGACACCCTTGGATCCTTCTGTCAAACTCACTATGGACATGGGGGAACCTATATCTGATCCTAGCCTCTATAGACGCCTGGTTGGAAAGCTGAATTTTCTGCAGAACACCAGGCCTGATATATCTTTCTCAGTACAACATTTGAGTCAATTTCTGCAAAAGCCTCAGGTTCCTCACATGATGGCTGTGTTACATGTGCTTCGTTATCTAATGAAAGATCCTGCTCAGGGTGTTCTTCTATCCAGTTGTCCAGATTTTTCTCTTCTAGCTTATTCTGACTCTGATTGGGCTTCTTGTGTGATATCTCGCAAATCTGTTAGTGGCTATTTTATTACTCTTGGGGGCAGTCCTATCTCTTGGAAAAGTAAGAAGCAGCCTACCATTTCTCTATCCTCTGCTGAAGCTGAATATAGGGCGCTTCGCAAGGCAGCTGCTGAGGTTTCTTGGTTAGTTCGTCTCTTGGGCGATCTTGGTTTACACATTACCAGCCCAGTTTCGATGTTTTGTGACTCACAAGCTGCTTTACATATGGCTAAAAATCCTGTTTTTCACGAACGAACGAAGCATATTGAGATTGATTGCCACTATGTTCGTGAGTGTTTGACTTCTGGTTTACTTTCTCTTCATTATGTTTCTTCTTCTGATCAGTTAGCAGATATTATGACAAAAGCTCTTACTGGACAGCCTCATCATGAACTTCTCTCCAAGCTTGGTGTGATATCACCCTCCAGCTTGAGGGGGGTATTAACCAGAATCTGCCTACTGACCAGCCCAACAAAGGAAAGCAGCAGTAGGCCCATTAGTTGTATTACATAGATCCCAATTGTACATTTACTTGTATTTGCATTTTATACGTTTCATTACTTGTAAATATAAAAGACAATTATGTAAAAGTGATAGTTTTAATTTTTGGTCAATGTAAAGACTGACCGACTCATTTGCTCTCGAACCTTTTGTTCTCTCTTCTTCTTCTTCTCAATGTTAGGGTTTCTCTTTTCGTTGTTTCCGCCATATCTACTCTTGTGCCAAGTCAACAATATCACGACTTTGGGATCGTTCAAAAATTTTGGTCTAAAGAAATTTGGTCAGAAAGATTTTTCAATCGTGTGCAGAAATTTGTTCTTAATTCTTAAGAAAACTTGCATCTACTTCTTTAATGTTATAAAATAATAAAAGAAGAAGAACAATATTGCAGAGAAAGAGAGAGGGGAAATTCTTATTGAATTTTGGGATGAATTACAATAGAATAGAACCCTCTATTTATAGGGAGAGGGTGACTTAACCACCAAGCAATGAACCCTAGAATCTCTCTAAATATAAACATTCACCATAAATACAATCCTATTTATAACACTCCCCCTTGAATGTCTATTCAACAGATAATGTTCCTCGTTAAAACCTTAACTAAAAGAAAACCCAATGGGAAAAAAATTTCTAGAAAAGGAAAAAGAGTACACATGTTTAGAAATGCGCCTGTTGGTTGCCTCGTTAAAAACCTTGCAAGAAAAACCCAGCGGGACAAAACCTTGTAAGGGAAAAAGAGTGCAACGCGCATTAACTCCCCCTGATGAGAGCATCAATTCACATCCTTGAGCCTTCGCATCCCAATCTTGTACACTAGCTTCTTGAAGGTTGACGTTGGTAGAGATTTTGTGAACAAACCAGCCATATTATCACTTGAACGAATTTGTTGCACATTAATATCACCATTCTTTTGAAGATCATGTGTGAAAAATAACTTTGGTGAAATGTGCTTTGTCCTATCTCCTTTTATGAATCCTCCCTTCAATTGAGCTATGCATGCTGCATTATCTTCATATAAAATTGTGGGTAGTTTGTCACATTTCAAACCACATTGTCTCGAATAAGATGTATTATAGACCTCAACCAAACACACTCTCGACTTGCTTCATGAATAGCAATTATCTCAGCATGATTAGATGAAGTAGCCATAATTGATTGCTTAGTCGATCGCCAAGATATGGCAGCGCCTCCACAGGTAAACACATAACCTATTTGAGATCGAGCCTTCTGTGGATCGGATAAATACCCAGCATCGGCATAACCAACAAGATCGGGACTGCAATTATTGCCATAAAATAAGCCCATATTGGTAGTTCCTTTTAGATACCGCAATATGTGTTTGATCCCATTCCAATGTCTCCTTGTGGGAGCAGAGCTATATCTTGCTAAGACATTAACTGAAAAAGTTATGTCAGGCCTTGTAGTATTGGCAAGATACATTAGTGCACCAATTGCACTAAGATATGGTACTTCAGGACCAAGTAGCTCTTCATTCTCTTCTTGAGGTTGGAATGGATCCTTGTTCACATCAAGTGATCGAACAACCATCGGAGTACTTAATGGATGTGCTCCATCCATGTAAAACCGTTTCAATACCTTTTCTATGTAGGTAGATTGATGAACAAAAATTCCGTTTGCCAAATGTTCAATTTGCAAACCAAGACATAATTTTGTCTTTCCGAGATCTTTCATCTCGAATTCCTTCTTTAAATAATCAATTGCCTTTTGGAGTTCTATAGGAGTTCCAATAAGGTTTATGTCATCAACATATATGGCAAGTACAACAAATTCCGATGTTGTTTTCTTTATAAAAACACATGGGCAAATGGCATAATTTATATAGCCTTCCTTTAATAAATACTCACTAAGACGATTATACCACATTCGTCCTGATTGCTTTAGACCGTACAAAGATCTTTGCAATTTTATTGAAAATATTTCCCGGGACTTTGAATTATTTGCGTTAGGCATTTTGAATCCCTCGGGAATTTTCATGTATATCTCATTATCAAGTGAGCCATAAAGGTAGGCGGTAACCACATCCATTAAATGCATGTCAAGCTTTTCATTGACAGCAAAACTAATGAGATAATGGAACGTTATAGCATCCATAACGGGTGAATATGTCTCTTCATAATCTACACCAGGCCTTTGTGAAAATCCTTATGCAACAAGGCATGCCTTATATCTTTGTACCTTGTTTTTCTCATTTCTCTTGCGTACAAAGACCCATTTATAGCCAACAGGCTTAACTCCATTAGGTGTTTGGACTACAGGCCCAAAAACTTCACGTTTTGCAAGTGAATTCAACTCTGATTGGATTGCTTCTTGCCATTTTGGCCAATCAAGTCTTTGTCGACATTCTCCAACAGATTGAGGTTCAAGATCCTCACTTTCTTGCATAATGCTAGATGCAACATTATATGCAAATACATAATCCACCATTATATCCACTCGATTCGAATTTGTCTCAATATCGATTGGATTTATTGATAGTTCCTTATTTTCTTGTGTCTCGAGCTCGGTGATTTCCTCATCAATCCCAGGATTGGTTAAATCGTGGATTTCTTCATGAGACTCTTTCGTAATGTCATTTTGATCATTTGTTTTCCTTTTTCTAGGATTTCGATCTTTGGAACCTAATGGTCTGCCACGTTTTAGGCATGCTTTTGACTCATTAGCTATGACACTAGAAGATTGTCCAATAGGGACATCAATACGGATTGGAACATTCTCTACAGGAATATGTAATTTTGTTATCCTTTTCTGATGGTCCAAACGTCAATACCACACAAGAGGGGGGGCTGATTTGTGTGGTACCCAATTTTCGCTATAGAAGAACCTGGTTCTTCTAGGTATACTAACTACTGCTGTTTGCGGAATAATAAATACAAAAATAAAGAACACAGAAATTTTTACATGAAAAACACCTGGCTCAAAAGGTGAAAAAACCACGACCTACTACTCAGTAGGATTTCCCAAACTTCCACTAAAATCACTGAGCCAAAACAGCATTTACAAAACTCTTTATAAACCTAAGGATTAACTCTAATCCCGTTGTAGCAACCAGCCTCTAACTGCTGCGACAACTTCAAGTTAACTCTAACTTGAATACTCAAAATACCTATTACAATTGCTTCTAGATAAAGCTGAAAGGTACAATATGAAACACCTACTACAATTGAACTAGAAATAAAGAAAGACACATAAAACTCTCTATGGAGCTGGTTCTTCAATCTGGTTCATGTAGCTTCTGGTTTGCACACTTGAATCACACACGAACTGCTTGCAAAAAACCTTGCTATTTTGCTCTCAATTCACGTTTAACTTCTGCGTTTTTGTGCAACCTGTTTTATGTGAGAACATCCTGCAATTTATAGAGTTAGTAGATGAAGAAATAACTAGAGTTCTGATGCAACTCATCCTTGGTGGAAGAGTTCTAGTTGATTTTAACTCTAACTCCTTCCCTATCTTGAATTGTGTTCTCTTTTATTAAGGACTCCTTCTCCTTATCAGTTATGCAACCTTTTCGATCATGAGATATTAAATACACCAAGTTAAGCTTATCTCCTTCACGTGCATCCCACATGCTTGAATCTACCCGTTTTTGTGAACCTGAGGGATGGACCAGTGGATGGACCTGGTTCATGTCTGAGTTCCTTTGTCAGTCTTCAAAACTAACCTTTACTTGGGCCAACAAATTCCCCCTTTTTGATGATGACAAACACTGTGCTTTTCATACACTTAGGCCCTGCCAGAACTCAGCTCAACATCAACACAATGTTAGAAACATTTTTCCTTTTTATCACTTATCATCAAGGACCAGGTACATTAGGTTATAAACATCACTGTTCAAAGTGTAAACATCACTTGTTTAAAGAACAACCTTTTCCCCCTTTTGGCATAATCGAAAAGTTGCATAAAAAATGTGAGATAACCAGATTTTAAAACTTACTCATGGCCACTGGGGCTACTTCAAATGCAATCATGGATTAATCATCATAGATCAAACTAAGAATTTCAACCATCAAAGAAATATAAAAAAACAGTTAGAGCAAAAACAGTGAATTTCATTGATGATTGATAAGATTCTACCACAAAGCATAAGAAGAAATAAAAATACTGAAAACATGAGCAAAAGAAACAAAACGTCCCGAACTGGGTCACTGGTTGATCTACACTAGGCTAGGATTTAAAGCTTGGAAGAGGTAGGGGCTGGGTTATTTTCTTGGAGAAGTTTCAGCATGTCTTGAAGAGTTCCATCATTCTTCTCCTTTTCCCTTGCAAGTTCAGTTGTGAGAACATCTCTCTCAGATTCTACCTCAACCAATCGTGTCTTCAGCCTTCCTATCTCAATATCCTTTGCCCCACTCTCCTGTACCAAGACTCTGGCTTTGCTATTGATAGGTGTCTTTTTAAATGAACCAGGTTCATTAGGAATGACATTGACTGAATAATCGCTAGCAAGCAGAGTATTAACCCCACTTCTTCATAGGTACCTTGAAATGTGCAAGCACAGTTGTGAGCATGAAACCATAGGGAATGGCATGAGTTTTGGTGCCATTGATAACCCTATCAGTAGGTCCAAGAGGGTCTCCTGTTCAGATGGAACAGGTTCATCTATATTTCTCAAGTTGAACCTACCCCTCAGCAGCTTCCCACTCCCCCCTGTTTTGCTCACACTCTCTTCTATTTCAGTAAATTCCTCTGCCCAAACAACCATTGCACCAATTTCTTTTGTTCGACCAACAGGAGTGGGTGAAGAATCAACCACTCTTTTACCCTTTCCCCTCATAGCACTCCTAGCACCCTTACTCTCTTTTTCCTTTTTTTTTTAATTTTTACCACCAACTTCTCCAGATTCTGTAGTCTCAACACCTGCTATAGATCCTACCAGTACAAATCTATTCTCTAAATTTGTAGCCACTTCAAAAATT